CAGGGAGCTGGATGGGAAGAGGGGCCGCCAGGACACAAATCGGCACCCATATGGGATCCCAGTGCATGCAAGGCAAGGACTTTAGGCACTAGGCTACTGCACCAGGCTGCTATTTCTCCTTTCTACAAAAGACCAGTCACAGTGCATGTAGGCAATCGTGTCCTGTATCTCACATCATTAATGGTAACCGTGTTCCAAACGAGGCTGCACTCAGAGGGGTTAGGACTTCAGGAATTGTAGAGAACACAACTCCATGCATGAGATGTCCTTGGGGTAAGAGCATCACCTAGGGATGGAGTGTCACCTAGGGACAGTGGGGCCATGAGGCACCACGAGGAGGTGGTGTCCCAGAGCAGAGCCACAGGGGCAGCTTGGGTCTGGGACCGGAGGGGAATAAACATCATCTCATCACACGCCCTGTGATTGGTCTCTGTGATCTTCAGCCAAGCCTGCATCACTAGTCAGGTTCTAGAAGAGAACAGATGGCAGCCTGGAAGGGGAACTGAGGGACATTTGATAAAAGTGGGGACACAGCTGGAGAAACTCACAAGGGACAGTGATCTCCGAGTCCAACAACAGCAGAGAGCTGAGGCTGCCCGTCATCAGTTACTGGACCGGAAGCAGGGCACTGGGCAGCAGCAAGGCCCCGTCGGGAGGAATGTCCCTGGCGCACACGTGGGGCTGTGAGGAGGCAGCTGAGGCACAGGTGCCCTGACTGTGCTTGCTCCCTGTCCAGTGTCTCCAGCTGGCACCTGCCTTTGACAGAATCAAAAGCAGCAAGCGCTGTCTCTGTATCAGCAAAAGCGACCCAGAGAAGCAAGGAGGGACAGGCAGAGGGGGACAGGCAGGTGGAGACCGAGCTGCACTCCTGCTGCTGTGCCCACTGAGCTGGGAGCTGCCAACAGCCAGGTCCTCACGTCTTCTTGCCAGCGGATCCAGGGGAAAGGAGAGTGTCTGGGACCATGTCTGTGTTCTACAAATGTTTGTAGAAGATGCATTTGTCAGAAGGACCTCAAAACCATCCCTGCAGGGCACAGAGAGGCTTCCCCTATCCGTGTTAGCTCAGCGCAGGAAGACATGGCAGCAGCTGTTAGAAAATGGCCAGGCCTGCTCCCTCCACAAAAGGCCATTTCCCAAGAGCCACACAGATTCCACCTGAGCCAGTGTTTGCCTTCACACAGGAATTACCTGCATAGGCCAAAGCCTGGGTCCCATGGGGGTGCTTCCTGCCACACACAGGGCACCTGCCTGATCCTCAGCCTCCTTCCCCTCCCTGAGGCTGTGATGCCAGGGAAGGGGCTGATCGTAGGAGAGCTGCAGACTGTGGGACCTCCCTGTGTGACTCAGAGCAAGTGATGGCATGCTTGATGCCCTGAGAAGTCCTGCAGCCAGGAAGCCCAGGTTGACCTTGCATTTCCCACTGCTGTGTGACATTTGTCTCTTCATTGGATGCTCCCAGTTTACCCTTGTGAGAGCGGAGGTCCCAGCAGTGCATAAAGCAGACAGATCGCCTGCTCGGTGGGCTCCCTTCCAGTGGGGTCATTGGTGACAGGACAGTCTATCCTGGAGGACACTGCTGTCCAGGGCCCCAGCCCCACCAGTGCCACTGCTGAGCTTCTAGGGACACTCAAGGACATCCGGAGTGTCCTGTGTGGATGCCAAGGCCAACTGCACCGCCAGGGAGGGAGAAGAGGATGTGTGGGGAGACCTTCAGCATCATTCATTCAGGCATTGTCTCTTTGATCAATATTGTTGCTGACCCTGCTCTGTGCCAGGCTCCCATCTAGACACTGGGAATTTGAAGATGAGTGAGGGAAAAGACGGGTGTCCAGGAGACCCCATCTAGTGGGAGACAAAGTGGTGGAACTGACCCCCTTCCCACAAGGCTCCACGGATTCCTCACATTCCCCTTACCAACCCAACTCCTCCAGTCCACCCCAGCCCCCAATCCCCACCTGAACTTCCACCGCCCAGTGCAAACAGCCTGCTTTGCTTCAGGCTGAGGCCACGGTAGAGCTCACCCTGATCTTCCCTGGAAATTCCTGTTTCCAGAAGGGGAGGAGTGTGGATGCGGGGGCTTCATATACATTTTGTATGATTTATTTCTTTATTTGAAAGTCATAATTACAAAGAGAGAGGGACAGACAGAACAATAGGTTCGATGAGCTGGTTCATTCCCCAGACCGCAGCAATGGCCAGTACTGGGTCAGGACAAAGCCAAGGGAGTCCTCTTGGTCACCCACACGAGTACAGGGGCCTAAACACACAGGTCACCCTGTGATGCTATTCCCAGCTCATCAGTGAGAGCTGAATCACAAGGGCAGCATGGCACAGCAGGCACGCAAATGGGATGCTGCTTTTTCAAGCAACAGCTTAGCCAGCGTTGATGAAATATCCTGTCACCAGAGCCTGGCGCAGTGGTCTCGCAGCTTAAGTCCTCACTTTAAACGCTCTGGGATCCCCTATGGGCACTGGTTCTAATCCCGGCAGCCCCACTTCACATCCAGCTCCCTGCCTGTGGCCTGGGAAAGCAGTCGAGGACAGCCCAAAGCCTTGGGACCCTGCACCTGCATGGGAGACCCAGAAGAGGCTCCTGGCTTCTGGCTTTGGATCAGGTCAGCTCCATCCATTGCAGCCATTTGGGGAGACAGCCTCACGTGCTGTCTGACCCCACCATGGCTCTGCATGGCCATGTCCACCATCCTATGCCAAGCTCCCACCCCAGGCCAAACACCTAGAGTGTGCACACGTGACCAACTCACTCCAGGTGATTCCTCTCACTACCCCCCGCCATTCTCCAATCCTCCCTGAAACGCACAGGAAGACAGTTTGGGGAAAGACAAGATCCCAGGTCCCTCTGGACTGGTAGGGCTCCTCAGTGACACAGAGCATAGTGTGTGCTGGCGGGGGCTCCGTCTTTGGATGCTACATGAGTCAGCTCCCACCTGTCCTTGATGAAATGGGTAGTGCTCAGAGTCCAAAGTTCACTCTGCGATCCACATGGAGTAGAGAGGTCTTCTCTGCTGTCCACAGTCAGGCCCCAGGCCAGGCAGGACCTGCAGAAAGCACAGCCCACACACCCTGACTCCTGGCCCACCTCACCCAGCTCACACGCCCCCCTCACCTGGGACCATCACTGTCCCTCCTCCTGCTCAGGCTTCCCCAGCAGCACAGCAGGGACACTCGCACCACCACCTGGAGTCACCCACTCTGGGCTCTGCAGGGATCCTCAACCACTGTGCTGTGGGAGCTGAGTCCTCCTAGGCAGCAGGGAAGGTGCTGCCAGCAGGGGGCGCTGGCGTCTCTCGGGGCTCCCTCTGTGCCAGGGGCTGTGCTGAGGTCCTGTGTGGGTCCCTTCCTGCTCAGCAGCTGTGATAGCACAGACCCTGGTCCTGGCCAGCTGAGGCCCTGAGGCTGGGGGAGGTGCAGCAGTGTGGGTGTGTCTGCAACCCCAGGTCAGGGAGAATTCCTTCCAGCTGAGACATGGCTCAGTCCCTCTCCTCTGACCATCACAGGGTGACTCTGGAGGACCCCTCAACTGTCCTGGAGAATATACTGAGTGGGAAGTCCACACACAGTCAGCTTTGGTTCCGCCCGTGGCTGTAACACCCCCAGAAGCCCACGGTGTTCGCGCGTGTGGTGCTTCATTGAGTGGATCGAGAAAGTGAGGACTGGGCAGCTGAGAGGGCTCCAAGTTGGGGGCTCTCCAGAGAGAGGCTGGGGGACTCGGAGGAAGGTCAGATCCTGGTGGGTAGCTGCAGGGACCCTGGAAGGGGCATTCCTGAGGGACACGGGGATGGTTCTGCTCTGTGTGTGCTCAGAACTTCCCAGGCTTTGGATGGAGCTTTGAACTTCTTGTCAGTGAGAGTTTCTCAGTGTGTCCTCTGGTCCTTACTTGTCCTGGAGGACAGGAGGCACACCGCCACCTGGTGGAGGAGTTGTGGAATGATAACGGTGAGGGATGCTGTTAGCTCTGATGGGGGAACTGAGAACCTAGCATCATCAGGGAACAGCTGGTCAGGGTTGATTCTGTCCATGTTTATCAGCAGTGGTCATCAATTAGAGACCATGTAAATGTGCGTTAGGGACAGTGATGGGATCCTTGGGTAATGTTTTATCCTGAACAAAGCAAGTACTATGCCATGAAGAGGTGAAACTAACAAAAATATAAATAAAAATCTGTGAGATATAGTTTCCGCTATATGTTGGTGAGATGTCTCCTGTAGGCAACAAGTAGATGAGTTTTGTGTTTTAATCAAGTCTACTAATCTGTGACGTTTGATTGATGAGTTTAAGCCATTTATATTCAGAGTTAATATGTATGGATGGTAATTTGGTCCTGACATCTTAGCAATGGGTTGTCATTGATGTAGCCTTCTGCTATTTTACAGGGATGTTCCTCGCATTTGCCTTTGGTTTGGGTAGGAACTGCTTCTCTTCTCTGTCAAGAGAACATCTTTAAGTATCATTTTTAGGGCAATTTTGGAAGAGGTATATTCTTTTAACTTTTCTTTACTGTGGAAGAATTTCTTATTTTTCTTCCTGTTGTTGATTTTATATTGTTGCTTTTCATTTAAGGGGATATATAGTAACTGTGTAATGGAGACCATCATATCCAGATGTGAGGATGCAATGCAGTATGCATCTCTACTTTCGGACAAAATGGACTCCCAATGAAATTATTTACAATATCTTGACAACAGGATGTCATGTTAGTAATGATATAGAGAACTCAGTGAGGGGGGAGGGAATTGGGGAGGGATGAGGGAAATCCTGTGGAACTGTATCATAAAATGATAATAACAAAAAGCAGTACAATTAAAAGAAAAAGAAGTAAGTAGTGTGTTCACTACTGCCATTAGAGGAAACAGGCTCAGAGAGCACATGTCACTCTCCCGGGTCACACGGGGGTGAGTGGTCAGGCTGGGAGCTCACCCCAGCTGCTTTGACTCTAGAATCTGTGATGCTAACTCCACTGTTCTGTCTTCTTGTGTTTCCAGATCACTGGGATTGACTTCAGCTAGCGGCGCTGATCCCACATGTTTATAAAGAATAAAGGTCTCTCAGCAGGTCCCGAGTTGGCTCTCTTTCCTCCATTGCCTCTTCCCCTCTGGCCTGTTCCTGAGATCTGAGAGCTGATGTGCAGGGATGAGACCAGAGGCAGCCTCACCTTGAGGACAAGCGTAACTGAGGCCCGCAGAACAGTTGTGATGTGACCAGCCTCTTGGTCCTCAGACCCAGGACTTCAATGAGGAAACTGAGGCAGTCCCAGGACAAGAGGACAAGCAGGTCCCCCAGGATAGAGTCCCCAGAGAGCAGTGGCTTTTCCATGCAGGCACAGCACACAGTGACACCTGCAGAGAGCCTGAGCCTGTCCCCTCTCGGGAGGCTCGCGGTAGAATGGAAGGACCAGGGGTTTCTGCCTCCCCTGACATGCAGGAGGGCTGTGGTCATTCATTCACTCGGTATCATTCATTGCTCTGAGAGGGAGGGACACGTGGGTTCTGCCCTGAAGTGGTTCATTATTTAAAGAGAAATGTGCATGGCACAGGCATTCAGCAACCACTGCCTGGCTCCCTGCCCTGGAGGCTTGGGGCTGGGAGTCCAGAGGTGAGCTGGGCTACCAAAGAGAGTCCTTCCCGCAGAGTGAGGATACGCACTCAGGGGCGGGGACACGTGTGGTGCTGCCCAGGCCAGAGCCCAGCAAGCAGACAGGGAGGTCAGAATAACCTCTGCTGTGTAGGCCTAGAAATGAACAGCCTCGTTACTGGAGTTCAAGTTGTTCCTGAACTCAAAACACAGGAACAGCCCCAGTAGGACCTGCGTGGACCATTTTCTTTCTTTTTTTTTTTAAGATTTATTTTGATTATTTTTTTATTGGAAAGGCGGATATACAGAGAGGAGAAACAGAGAGGAAGATGTCCCGTCTGATGATTCACTCCCCAAGTGAGCGCAACAGCCGATGCTATGCCGATCCGAACCAGGATCCAGGAACTTCTTCCGGGTCTCCCACACGGGTGCAGGGTCCCAAAGCTTTGGGCCGTCCTCGACTGCTTTCCCAGGCCACAAGCAGGGAGCTGGAAGGGAAGGGGGGCTACCAGGATTAGAACTGGCGCCCATATGGGATCCCGGGCATGCAAGGCGAGGACCTTAACCACTTGAGCCACCGCGCCAGGCCCGTGGACCATTTTCTAAACCGGTGTGTTCTGTTGTGTCTTCCTTTAGAAGTTACATTTTTGGGTGCCACAGTTTAGCACCATGGGTTAATCTGCCAATTGTGAAGCTGGCATCCGATATTAAAGCAGTGATTCAAATGCCAACCTTCCTGGCCCAGCTCCCCGCCGATGGCCTGGATAAGTAGTGGAAAATGACTCAAAGCCTTGGGTTCCTGCACCCACATGACAGACCCAGAAGCTCCTGGCTCCTAGCTTTGGATCAACTCAGCTTTATCCCTACGGCCATCTGGGGAGTGAAGCTCTGACTTTGAAATAAAATAATAAAATCACAAACAAGCAGTACTCCATCCATGTCCTTGAGCAGGTGCACCTGTGTGAGAGTTCCCCTAGAGACTGTCCTAAGTGCTGTGGTGGCTGAGTGGGAGGCGTGCTCACTCTCATCTGACCCATGGCCACCTTGCTCTCCATGGGACAGCGCCAACAGCACTTCTCACAAGTCCCTGCTTCTTCTGTTATCACCCACTGCCCCCCTCACATACAAAATATCACAACATATTTTCTAAAGTCATTTCTGATATCTCAATTTCCCCTAAAAACCCTGCTCCGGGGCCCAGTATGATGGCTCAGTAGCCAAATCCTCACCTTGCACAAGCCAGGATACCATATGGATGTCAGTTCATGTCCTGACTGCCCCGCTTCCCATCCAGCTCCCTACTGGTGGCCTGGGAAAGCAATGGAGGATGACCCAAAGCCTTGGGTCACTGTGCCTGCGTGGGAGACCTGGAGGGAACTTCCGGCTCCTGGCTTTAGATTGACTCACCTCCAGATGTTGTGGCCACTCTGGGAGTGAGCCATCAGACAGAAGATCTTTCTCTCTGTCTCTTCTTCCCTCTGTAAAACTGCCTTTCCAATGAAAATAAATAAATCTAAAATAAACCTGCTTCAGCTTATCACCCCCCCCTCCAAACCTTACCAAAGCCCAGGAAGTAGTGTGGCAAGGATTGGGGGAGGGCAGGGCAGGGCAGGAACACAGCTAGAAGAGCAGACTTCAGCATCACCAGGAGGATGGGTGGAAGTTCTGGAATGCACAAACCTTGAACCTTGTGACTGAGGTACACACAGCACTGGTGACATGGTTGAGCGGTGAATGAAGCAGTGAATGAAGGAACAGTAGGGCTGTAAAGCGGAGGGTCCATCCCTCCTGAGGGCCGGGAAGGGCCCTTGGAGAATTTACCATAATAACTTCAGGATGATGGACAGTGAAGACAGTGAGATGTGGTAGGCAGGTGGTGGGTCACCAGGCACCCTCTCCCAGCCTCAGCGTAGGACTGAAACTGCTGTGACCCCTTCTCACCACACGTGGGCAGCAAAGAGTCGGGAAATCATAGCAAAAACAGCAAGTAATTCGATCAACAATTTAACTTCCTTGTTAAAAAAAAAAAAAAAACTTCAAGTCTCAACAATTCAAATATCTTAAATAGCATTTAGTGAATGTTAATTTTCACCTAGTGTCATGTTCAGCAAGTTTTGGCTTTTGTTTTCTAAATGGGAAACAGTCAAGTGCCGGAGTCCCGAGCTCCAGCCGAGTTCGGAGCTCGGGAAGGGTGCGTGGAGTCGGCGGTAAAGAAAGACACAGACACAGACACTTGGTGCGTTCTCACACCAGCCCAAGAAAAAGCTGTGCTTTTTATTTACTCAGACACCTCACAAGCTTCTACACAAGCAACTAATTGTTCTATTTTTACTTCAAGACTAAGGGAGCATGTACAGACATTTGGTCACTCCGTCTGCATTTCAGGGCTAAGCAGGTGCCCCTGAAGATAATTCTGCAGAATACTGTGTTCATATTCTTCAAAGCAAACCATTATTCATTCTTCAACAGTAGCCATGGAGCAACAGCCAGGACTCCAAGGCACATGCAATCACCTGCTAATTAGTAGTACATTCCTACCACATTTCTATTTCTACAATTTATCCATTATTTAATGGGGAAATGGGTTACAAGGGAAAAAATATAAAATCTAAAACAAAAGTTTCAAATATTAAATCCCCTACAACTATAGACTCTACAACCCCATAAACAATGAAACAATAATCAAAAGCATTTTTCTTTAATAAAAGCATCCTTAATTTCTCTAGCTAAAAATTATAAAAGCGGCTAAAGCAATTACATTTTCTACACTTCTAGAAATTGCAAAGACAAGCTAGCCTTTGAGATAACAATAACTATATTTATTGCCATAGCAATTTCAGCTTTCACTCCCATCACTTGCCCCTTCCCAGAAGGCGTGCTACATGTCTGGGCCAAATTCTGAGACAATGCTTTAGTACCCAATAAGGTGTCCAAAAATGGTATGGGCTTAATTGTGCTCCTGTGTGTAAATTGCCAAAGGCCCACTCACCAAGACATTGTCAGTGACATTAACTCTCAAGCTCACATCAGTTGCAAAAACCCGCAAAAACTATCTCACAGGGGCAAACAACAATGCCTCAATAGATTACAGAATTCTTGGGTGCTTGAGTGTCCATGCAGCCAGGGGGTGAAACAGCGTCAAGGTGGTCAGAGAGACTTCCGCCGGGCCTTGCCTAACAGCTGGAAGCTCACCCGGGGCCTTGCCACACAGGGGAGCTGTTCTCTTCACACCTTCATGTCATCCACACCCACTGCAGGGACCCCAGCAGTCAAGTTTGGAAGAGGCATAATTTTCCCTTAGAAAATTACTAAGTTGTCAATAATTCTTTCCATCTTGAAAAAGTTGATAGTCCCAGTTTTCTTTTTTTGGAATGATATTCACCATATTCTTGCAGAATTTTACTTTAGGAAATTGGGTTTTATTTTGTTTGCTTTGTTTTGTTTAAGCTAAGATGCCAGGAGACAGAACGCACCGTCACTCTGAGCTGCTGGCTCACTTCGCATCATTCTGATTTGCCGTGGCTCAAATGGGGCCAGCTCAACGCTGAGAGCTGGAAGTTCTGTCTGTATCTCACCTGGGTGGCAAGACGAACCTGCTGCCTCCAGGCTCCAGGCTCCAGGCTCCTCCAGGCTCCAGGCTCCTCCAGGCTCCTCCAGGCTCCTCCAGGCTCCAGGCTCCTCCAGGCTCCTCCAGGCCCCAGGCTCCAGGCTCCAGGCTCCACAGTGGCAGGAAGCAGGAGTCAGTAGCTGAGTTGAGCACTAAACCCAGGCATTCGATGTGAGGTGTAGTCATCTTACTTGCTAAAACGAGTATCTTACCCTGGACTCTATTATGTATTTTTATTAATTTAATGTTTTATTTGTTTATCATTTGAAAGGAAAAATGACAGAAAGAAAAAAACATCCCTATGCAGTTCACATCCCAAATGGCCACAACAGCCAGGGCGACACTTAACTAAAGGCAGGAGGTAGGAACTCCATCTGGATCTCCTACAGGGTGGAAGGGAGATGAATACTTGGGCCACCATTTACTGCTCAGGTTGGAAGCAAAGCAGCCAGACTCAAACTAGCACTCTGATATGCAATGCCTGCTTCTCAAGTGGAGGCATGACCCACTTGCCACAAGGTCAGTCCTTACACCATTGTGATGCTCCCTTCCATGCTTTTGTTTGTATTTGGAAAGCTTACTAACAATTAGATTCATCAAGCACGGGTCTGGAAGCTGGGCTGCCCTGGGGCAGGGATACTGAGCTCTCTGTGGTCCTCACATGCTCACGATAGAGCCATGAAGAGATTCCTGGCAAAGTAAATCCACCTTTTGCAAATGAACACAGAGGCAGAGGGCTGAGAAGCCCTGCTCTCAACGCAAGAGACTTCCTGAGACTTTGCTGTGACAGCCATAGTGAGTGAGGACAGAGCATCCCAGGCCAGTCTC